CAAACTCCTGGGTTCAGCCAATCCTCCTGCCTCTGCCTCCTGAGTAGCTCAGATTATAGGCACCCACCACTATGCTTGGCAAATTTTTCTATTTTTATTTATTTGTTTATTTATTTTTTGGAGTTAAGAACTCATTTCTTACTCAAAAAAAATCCTTATTTTTGACTGGATTCAGATTTAGAAGTGGAAGCTCTCAGAGAGGACAGCCTACATCTCTTGGTGATCTGTTCCTGGTGCTTTTCTTTGGCCTCCTTCATTCTCTTGGCCAAAAGTTTAGCATATTCTGCAGCCTCTTCCTTATTTTTCTTAGTACGCTGTTTCTTCAGAGCAACATGCCAGCGTTTATGTTGCAAGACACGTGGAGTTACCAGACGCTGAATCTGGGGTGCTTTGGTCCTAGGTTTCTCACCTTTGTTTACGGGCTTTCTCACAACGTATTGGCAAACATCATCTTCTTTAGACAGATTGAAAAGTTTGCAGATTCTACTAGCTCTTTTAGGCCCCAGACACTCAGATACTGTAGTGTCAGTTAGTCCAGGAATATCCTTCTCTCCTTTTTTTTTTTTTTTTTTTTTTACAATTACCAAGTTGAGAACACTCAGATTGGCATCACAATGCAACCCCGAACAGATTTGCACTTCCTTTCTCCACTTCCCCTTGGTATATAACAGGAATGCCCCTTACACAGCAACAGATGGACCTGGTCATGGGTCGAGACATCCTGCTTCATGGAAAAATCTTGCTTGTCATTTCCACCACCGATTCAGACCACATAATCCTTCCAGTCTTCACCTAGCACGTCAGCAGCAAGTTCTGTGGCCATGCACTTCTCACAGAAAGTACCAAGTTTGCGTTCATTGTCCACTTCAATGAGTTTCCGGCAGCCAGTGGCTGGAAAGGAGATAATCAGCTTTATCCTGAAGTATCTGAATGCTTACTAGGCCCACAGAAAAGAGGCCCGACTTCCTCTATTTTTATTTTTAAGTTTTTAAATTTTTGAGACAGAGTTTCACTCTGTTGCCCTGGATAAAGTGTCATGGTATCATAGCTCATAGCAACCTCAGATCCTCTTGGCTTAGCCTACTCAGTAGCTGGGGCTACAGGTGCCCACCTTCACTCCTGGCTAATTTTTCTGTTGTTAGTAGAGATGGGGTCTCACTCTTGCTCAGGCTAGTTTTGAACTCCCAAGCTGTAGAGATCCTCCTGTTTTGGCCTCCTATGATCACTTTAGGGTTATAGGCACAAGCCAGCTTCCTCCTTTGGTAAAGAGTGAATAATATTTCACTTATACCACATTTTCTTTATCCATTCATCTGTCTATTGGCATTTAGGTCATTTCTATATCTTGACTATTGTGAACAGTGGTATACTGAACCTGGAAGTGTGAGCATCTTTTTGAGATTCTGGTTTCAGTTCCTTTAGATAAATACCCAGAAGTGCTAGATCACACACACACACACACACACACACACACTTCTTGCTATCCATCTATCCCTCCCTCCCTCCTTCCCTCCCAGTCAGTCAGGGTAATTGGGATCTCCATCACTTCAAACATTTATCATTTTATTATATTCGAAACATTAAAATTCTTCTCTTCTAGATATTTTGAAATATATGGTGACTTGTACTATAATGTTTTGAATACTGTAGCTTTGTAATTTAATTTGAAATCAGGAAATGAGATGCTTCCAGCCTTGTTCTTCTTTCTCAAGATTGCTTTGGCTCTTCATGGCCTTTGTGGTTTTGTATGAATTGTAGAATTTTTCTCTATTTCTGTAAAAATTTCTGTTGAGATTTTGAGAGGGATTGTTTTGAATCTGTGGATCACTTTTGGTTAGTGTGGACAGACATTTTAACAATGTTAAGTTTTCCAGTTCACGAATATGGCATGTTTTTCTATTTGTGTTTTCAATTTCTTTCATCAATGTCTTTGTAGTTTTCAGTATTCAAGTATTTCACCTTCTTTGTTAAGTTGCTATTCTTACTCCCTAATTTCATTTTCAGATATTTTGTTGTTTTTAGAAATAGAACTTATATGTCACTTTTATATCTTGAAATTATTAGTTCTAACAGTTTGTTTTATTGATTCTTTAGGGGTTTATATATATAATATTATGTTGCTTTTAAATAGGAACAATTTTAATCCCCCCCCC